TCTTTTTTGCTGGTCAGCCAGAACCCGAGGCACACATTTCCCAGCCACCCTTCTCATTCCCAAATCTTCCATTAAAATTCGCTGAACCGAGCTCCATGGTAGTCCAGATAACATCCCCATCTCTTCAGTGGTTCATCGTGGGTTTTCAAGCAAAAGTGCATGAATTTTGTTGACATTTTTCTCCGTTTGGGAAGTTGAGAAGTTTGTTATCAATTGATATTTCAGCTTTTTTGAAATGAAAAAACTACTCATATGCTTGAGTTTTTCCAATAGCTCTGCCCTTGTAAGCTGTGTTCAACATCACAACAGTTTCTGTGGCAGGAAACAAAGTTTCACAGCCTCATGCTGTTCTCTGGTATTGGCCATCACAAAAAAAAAAAAAATGAGGTTCGAGTGAAACTGCTTTTATGAAAGAATTCACTGTGACCAGAGAGAAACTTCCCAGGCGATGCCACTGGGTGCACTGACTCAATGCGAGTTGTTGGATGCTCACCTAGTGGGAAAAATTTATACTCTAAAAGCTCTGCCCAATGGAGCTTTTTCTGTTGTTGTTTTTTTAATGTGTAGGGGGGTACCCCCTCATATATAACATTAATTTTTTTCTCTAAATGCTTTCTTTTCTGATCCACTTTGGTTTTGTTGAATTGCAAAGAATTACATAATAGCTTCAAGGTTAGTAATGAATGTTCACTGATACTTAGAAAGTTGTTTTGTGAAAACTATTACTGATAACGTATTTATTTAGAAGTTACTCTAAACCAAAAGTGAAAATTCAGTCTTGTAAAACCCTGTTTAAATGTACAGTTATATTTCTTGGACTTGAAACCTTTTGTTTTGCTTTGTTTTATTTTAATGGTCCTTAATTAAATTAGATGTTTTTTCTCTTCTTGAGTTTAATTGGGTAATACAATTCACAGTGCAGATTATTGAGAGAAAACTTTCAAAGAAGCTTTGAAATATTCCCTTGGTTCTATTTTCCCAACTCTGAGTATTTTGACAATCCTTTAAAGCAGCGTTCTCAACCTGTAGCAAAAATACAGTTACAAAGTACTAATGAAAATAATTTTATGGTTGGGGGGGTCACAACATGAGGAACTGTATTAAAGGGTTGCAGCACTAGGAAGGTTGAGAACCACTGCTTTAAAGCAATATGAAAACATCATTATTAATCCGTTTCATTGATCTATAGAAAAGTAATATATAGCCATATTCAGTTTTCATAATCCCAATCATTTCTCAAGAGAATGAAATCTACAGAAACTCAGCTCATATACTTTTGACATTGAGACAAGAGAAGTAAAATATGATTCAATGTATCCCAAATCAAAATCCAAACTTGCTGCCGTCAAGCTGTTGAATCGATTCTAACTCATAGTGACCTGTACTTGAAAGGGGTGCCAGCCCCTGCCCCCCACTAATCACGGGTTTGATAGGTGCAATTGTACGGTTGAGATATATAAAGATTACATCAAAGTCATAGAGAGCATGAGAGATAGAAGAGAGATTGAAATAATGGAGTCAGACACATTTCATGGTAGCATGCTCACTTCCTGGATGGCCATGATCTTACCAGTCAGGTCTGCACACAGTGTGGGCCGAGGCGAGGTGGAGCAGGGACCCGGCAGGATGCTCGAGGGCCCCGTTTATTGCTAACCAAGGGTTATATCTGCTTCGGGGGCATGATTACAGGTAACCACACGTCACAGGAAGGGGCAGTATAATAGGCATAAGTGTGACAGGAAGAGGATGAGCTAGGAGTGTGCACATAGGAATGGGAGGGACTAGGGGTATACATGTGACAAGATGAGCAGACCCTAGATTCATGATGGCGGCCTAACCTTGGTCACCTTTGGTTGGCTGGACCTCTCAGGGGTCTCCTACAAGGAAGCAGACAACTACTATCCTTATCAGAAGGGAATGAGTCCTACTTGTTGTGGGAAAAACAGTGGTGACTTGCTTGCTCTAGATGGCTCATAACCCTTAGGGACAATAACCCCTGATCTACTTCTGATGACCTCCAAGTGTTTAGTCATTCGCAAGCAGCTAAGTTTGGCATATATTTGGGGACAACAACTTGGGAGAAATCCTTCTGTTTCCCACAGCGACCCTTTAGGACAGAGTAGAACTCTGAGTTTTTGAGACCATAAATCTTTATGGGCACTGAAAGCTTCATTTTCCTCCTGCAAAGCTGGTGGGTTCTAACTGGTTTCAGTGACCACAAGACTTACGTTTAGGTGTACTAGAGCCTATATGCTGATCATTTATGTGGGGTTGCTATGAATCGGAATCCACTCCATGGCAGTAGGTTTTCGGGAAGGGACAGAAAGAAAAAGAGGGAAAATAGAGATGAAGAAGGAAAAATTGCAAGATAGTCACAAAGAAGAGAGAAGTTTGGACAATAAAAAGAAAATCAAAAGGAGATTAAGTCCCATAAAAGGGAATTTTGGGGTTTTTTTTTAAAGGTAGAGTGAGAAAGAAAATAAATCAAGTTCGCTGCCCACCCAGCTCCCTGGTTCCAGAGTAATTCTTTCTGAAAGCCCCACATTCCTCAGCTGCGGGTCGGCCCCCCTCTGTAATCCTCCCACCTGCGGCTAGCCACAATAGACTGGCCTTCTGCAGACATCCCTTCTTCTCCCTGCTGCCAGCAAGCCTGCCTCCCATTTTCGGATGCAGCCTTCCAACACAGAAGTGGTCCCTTCTGTCTTCTAAGCCAACAAATTTTTCCATTGCCAGAATTAAGTCCTTAAATAGAAACACTTTGCGTTTTTCCTGTTTTGATTGATTGAATGTGAACTGGATGAATGTTTACAGTGTAGATCATCAGTTTTACATGCAATAATTTTTACATATTTTACTTCATCTCATTCTTTGTCAATCCCTCAATACCACACCATTCAACCCCCCTCCTCCCGGTGTGTCCTAACCCTGCTGAATGTTGTCCTGGGGAAGTTCTGCTCTTTTTATCTCTGAGGATTGCTTGTCCTGAGTGTGCATATTCTGAGGTGTGCATACCTCACTTAGTGTTGCTGCCCCTCCTGTTTATTGTTTGCCTGAAAATTAAGCCACAGGAGGAGTTCAGTTTCAGGAAGCACAATATATATTTAGCAAATTATTCTTTATCCATTAGTTAGTGCCAGATATGCTTTCTAGTTGGTCTTTTTTTTTTCAGTTATTTTACCATGTATTACTTGGGAAGTTTTGTCATCAAATACACATATCTATTTCTCTTTCATGTCTTCTGTGTGGGGTGTCATATTAAACAGCCTTCCCTCTCTTAGAGTATGTATTTTAAACTTTCCAAAATTTGTTCTCGTGCCCTTTGATTTTGGTAGGTGTGTGGTAGGGATCTACAGTTTCTTTCCCCTAGAACTTAAACAAACAAACAAAATCACTGCCGTCAACTGGCTACAACTCATAGCAACCATATAGGAGAGGGGAGAGCCGGCCAGTGGGCCTCCAAGACGGAAACTCTTTAGGGGAGTAGAAAGCCTTGTCTTTCTTCCTTAGAGCAGCTGCTGGTTTCGAACTGCTGACCTGTTGGTTAGCAGCCCAACTCGAAGCAACAACTGCTAGAGAACCTATTTTCTAAATAATCTACCTGTTACTTCACAGATTTGAAATATCTGTGTCTTTATCTAAATTTCTATAATTTTGGGGGGCTTTCTAATTCATTCCAGTGAGTTGCGTATCCATTCATGCAAAATGCCACCCTACTGTAACTGTTGTCATTTATAATGTTCCTCTGCTGGAATTAATTTTCCCTGGTTACTCTTCTTGGCTATTCTTGCTTACTTGTGTTTTTCTTTGAGCCGAGAAATATCTTCTCATTTTATTTGGAATATCCATATTGCCATTTTCTTAGAATAATGACATGCTTGTGGATTAACTTGAGATGAATTGACTTAGTTGTGACAGAGAGTATGTGTCTTCCTATCCAGTCAAGTCTTCCATATGTGTCCTTTTAGGAGAACTATAAACTCTTCTTCCTGAGTTTATTTCCATTTCCATTGCTCTCATAATCATATCGATGTCTAATAGAGCTTTTACGTATTGCCTTATCTGTTATAAGGTGCCTTGTATAAAAGCTTTAACTGTTGGCACTATTTCAATTCCTACTTTAGTTGCTGTAGCGGAAGCTTTATATTTAAACCCTGCTAGTCTCTGAAGAACTAAAGTCCCAGTGGTTGCCTTGTATTCAAATATTAACAACAACACAATCTTTCTTCTTCAGCTGATTCATGACTTTACTACAGTGCCTTTCTTTGGACCCTCAGAGAAAGAACAATCCCACAGTGAATCTTAATGACTTCTCAAACACTGGGGAGCTCACTGTTTATTTTTTAATCAAATACCCTTCCTTATTTTAAATGCCTCTACATATGTGGCCTTCATCTTATAGGTCTTAGATATTTATTGAATTTCCGCCCTATGCTCTGTGTTTTCTCTGTGGGAGCGAAAATGACCAACTAATAATACATGGTTTCTGGGCTTTATTCATTTGCTTAAAAATTGGAGACTAGACCAAGGTTAAAATAGCTTAAACTGCATTGCGATCTCTCAGAATGCTCCTACTTTATAGAACTTTGTATTTGTTTATTTAAGAGTTTTTATACACTTTATTCATTAGATGTGGTAAAAAAAGATTTTTTTAAAGATTTTAAAACAGTTTCAAACAAAGTTGAAGTGATGGTCATTTTGATACCAGAAGAGAAAGTCTTTATGATCAGAAAATATTCCTATATTGGCCTGAAAATGTTAATGATGTCCTAATTCCATCTATGCATATACTTCTTAGAACGGGTATTAACATTAACAGCCTTGCTTTTCATTTTCGGTAGCTTAATTGGTAAGGTTAAAGAAGTATGCAATATGGCAAATGTGATTAATGTCACTTGACACTAGCCAAAAAGCTGAAAAATGTTAAGGACATATATTAAGGGAAAAAATAAGCCCCCCAAAATCAGTCATAAGCCATTAACTGTCACTATTCTGTTTTTCAGCCTGGCTGGGTTGTTTTGGACCAACCTGATGCTGCTTGCCATTTGCAGCAGCAACAAGAACCTTCTCCTCTACCTCCAGGATGGGAAGAGAGGCAGGATGTCCTTGGAAGGACCTACTACGTAAACCACGAGTCTAGACGAACGCAGTGGAAAAGACCAAGCCCGCAGTATGTGCTGACGGTTTTCACGTGTAGTCTGGTACACTGGGACCCCTAAGCGTTATTTGGAAGTAATGGCTCAGATGAATTCATAGAGTAGAGTATAGGGACCCATAACCATAAGAACACCAGACTTTTTGCTGCCACGGGACTTGAAAAATGACGTGCCAGCTCAATTGGGGTGGTGGTTGTTTTTAAATGATAATGTATAGAACTATTTGTACACAAATATTGCCCTTTCCATGACCTCTTAATTTATAATAAATTAACAATTATTCATAAACATGCTTTTCATTACCATGAGCCACAAAGGGTACGTTTTGTTTTTTATTTACATTTTCCTATGTTTGAGATGAACTTGTAAGTTATGAAAGACTCCAAGCCCACTTCAGTTTTACTTCTTTTTTAGCCACTCAGACCAATATTTAGATCTGAGGGACAAGGAATCCGAAGGGGTTGTTTTGTTTTTTAGATTAATTTAGAAATATTGTGGGTTTTTTTAGTGTATTTTAAAAATACAATAAAATAGTCATTTTTTCAGTGCACTGTATTTAAAAATCAAAGTTATTTTGAAAACATAAAGGGACTCAGTAGTGGAGGCAGGGTGGGGTGGAAAGGAGGAACCGATTACAGGGATCTACATATAACCTCCTCCCTGGGGGATGGACAACAAAAAAGTGGGTGAAGAAAGATGTCAGACAGTGTAAGATATGACAAAATAATAATTTATAAATTATCAAGGATTCATGGGGAGGGGGGAGCGGGAGGGAGGGAGAAAAATGAGGAGCTGATGTCAGGGGCTTAAGTGGAGAGTAAATGGTTTGAGAATGATGAGGGCAACAAATGTACAAATGTGCTTTACACAATGGATGGATGGATGGATTGTGAAGAGTTGTATGAGCCCCCAATAAAATTATTTTTTTAAAAAGAGACTCAGTATCATGGGACTGATGTGAGACACTCACTTTCCAGTGAGATGCGGATTTCCCAACGTGTATATACTTCAACGATCTTTAAGATATCCTCACGTGTCCTCACAATGGCATTTTTATCTTATCAGATTGACCTACATTTAGAAGTTCTCCCGTTATTTATATTTATTTTCAAAACCCCATTCCCACCTCCTTCATGTTACCTATTGAAATCTTTCTTTAGTCTTTCACTTTTTAACCCAGACTTAAATATTATTGGCTTTCTGTTGGCTTTCTAACTTTGATATTTTGTGCCCGACATAGCCAAAGCTCTGTAGTAGATTTTGTTGTTCTCAATCCTTTCGAGCAAATCATCAATCCAACATTTTCATGGCACAGAGGCCCGGGTCTCTGTAGAATGACATGCAAATTACAAAACTAAAGGCCCCCATCCCGGCCCCCAAAAAACAAAAACCGTGCAGATGTGTTCTCTTGCCTATCAGTACCATGGCAAATCTGACTTGAGCAGAATCACATTTCTTTCAAGTATTTAGTGGGGGAAACCCTGACACCTTTCTTAGGACCATCTGTCAAAACTGTCCCCTCTTGTACAATAAGAACTGATCTTTAAAAAGTAAGTGAAATAAAGTAACCGGTCTTCTGACCGTCACTGGGCTTCTGTGGCATTAAATAAACTATTAATGTTATTAAGTATTTGAACAAAATTCTTGATCTAAAAATCTGGTGATATGAATACAATGTTTCTGGCTAGGATAATATAACTAATAGACAATCAGCATAGGGGTGTGCAGTCTGATTTATTGATTTATTGAATACTCAAGCCTTTATTGTCATCCTTTTACAGACCAGGCCTATGCCTGTATAGGATCAAAAACAGATACCATTTAAGCCCTAATCTATTAAGCTTCTAAGTAGAAAGTCTTTATACTGTCTTTCATTCTGCCCTCTTCATAAAAGGAATTCTAGCCCTGGCTTAAGATCAATTCTCCATAATATTGCTCTTTGATTCATGAAGATGTACATGTAACCCCTAAAGCTTCTCTTCTATGAATTGCCTGGGGTGACTTTAGATTTGCTCCTATAGCAACATGGTGGAATACTAATACGATAAAATTATTTGTGAGACTCTGGTACTCATATGAGAATCATTTTGATTGTCCACAGAGACCAGGCATTATTGTAGGTATGGCGATGAACTGAAATGTCCCAGTCAAGTGCGGTTGTCATTTTGCTACCTTAAGACCTGGCTGATGGCTTTCATATATTTCTAACACAGGGACAGCCTAACAGATGCTGAGAACGGTAGCATTCAGCTGCAGGCACAACGCGCATTTACCACCAGGCACCAAATATCCGAGGAAGCAGAGAGTGTTGACCAACGAGAGTCTGCTGAGGTATAAAAAAAAGGGGGGCTTCATTGTCATGATATAGCATTGCCGTCAGTGCAGTACTTGTGACTTCCATTTCTTCTGCTTGTCTTAGCACTGGGAAATAATAGGAGAAGACGAAGCTACCACGTACAGCAATCAGGCCTTCCTGTCACCGCCATCAGCACATAACATGGATGTTCAGACGTACCTTGCAGAAGAATTGAATGCCAGGCTTACTTGTGGAAATTCAGCCACCAGTCCGCCAGTACCCAGCTCAGTAAGAAGCTCTCAGACTTTGCTGTACATATTACTCCATTCTATAAGTGTTACTTCTATGTAAAATGTATCGTAAATGGCATGCAAGAATGTGTTAGGGACTTTGGGGCTTTCCGGCATAGTCATTGATATTTTTCAAGTATCCCCACTAATAGTATCGACACAAGCATGGATAATCCAAATAGTCACTAGCGTCTGACTCCACCTCCCCCACCAGAGACCACCAGGAACACACCTATAACAAGGAGGTTGTGTTTCTGACTCATTTCAGCAAGTGGGAATAGGCACAAGTCTTAGGAAAAGGGTTTTAGAAAAGCCTTAGAAAAGGGACTCCCATGAGGTTTAAAAAAGCAAGGCTTTGTCCTGGGTTGGATGCTGCGAGGGAGCAGGGGTGAATCTGTGATTGGGTGTCTCAGTACATCAGACCTGTAGCTATGCTAAAGCTCTAAGTGATAGAAAAGCAGTAGTCAGCCACACTAGACGGGATGGAGAGATGTTTGGAGCTTTGTGGCTTGGACAGTGCTCCTGTTTTATCTGTGTGCAGGCATCATGTGCAGGCTCCTGTTCGTACTATCTTGATCCATCGTGGTCTCGAAGAAGCCTTGTGTGATGTTGATGTTTTGTGGAATTGTTTATGTTCAGTAGGAGAACACCAAGACCTGGCAGCGAATGCCAGACCAGTTACTCGACTTTGGGGACCGCTTCTCTCTTTCCCAGTGAGAATGTGGTTTTGACATTCCACCACTGATGTCACCAACACATATGTGTGACTAAGAACTGATAGACTGACTAAACAAGGAGAGAGGTGATCGTCTCCCCCCAGTGACCACTATGAACATTGTTACCCACAGGGTTTGGAAACAAGTACCCAGCGCAAACAAGGCCATGATGAGCTCGCCAAGGGTAGCTCTCTGGTCTGTCACATTAAGGGAGATCTTTTCAGTGGAAAACAAAGCTGATTCTCTGAGGCTGCTGTGGTCGTTTGCAGTCGGTGTCCCCCTGCCTTTTACTCATCCAGTAACCATATTCAGGGCTGACTCTATGCCAGGCACTGCATGCTAGTTACTGAGAATCCAATAGGAAATAAGACAGACAAAATCCCCTGTCCACGTGGAACTTTCCTTTTACTGCAACCGCTGGCAAAGCACTACTCTCTGACCACACCAGCCTCTGTCTGTTATTGTAGCTAAAGTGTCACTGGAATGCCACTCTGCCCATTGTTGACATTTTGTGTCGGCCTGCTCTCACACATCAGCAGAGTTAAGCAGTTATGACAGAGACCAGGTAGCTTGCAATGCTTGAAATGCTTACATCTGGACCGTTATAGAAAAAGAGCGCCCCGTGATGCTCTAGCACTTTCTTTAAGAAGCTTCACTGTAGGCGGCTCTGCTAGAGCAGTGGTTCTCAACCTTCCTAAGGCTGTGATCCTTTCATAACAGTTCCTCATGTGGTGGTGACCCCCCAACCATAAAATTATTTTCATTGCTACTTAATAACTATAATTTGCTACTATTATGAATCATCATGGAAACATCTGATATGCAGGATGTCTTTTCATTGTTACAAATTGAACATCATTAAAGCATAGTGATGAATCACAAAAACAATATGTCAATATATATTGTGAAATATTTATTTCTAATGACAAATAAATGAAATATTGCTTTGAAGCGTGGTGTAGCATGGATAACAGTCTTCACACTGGGTACTCGTATGTGGGTGTATCTGCATGTGAGTGGACCCACTTGGAGACGGATAGAGGAGTGGTGTCTCGGTTCCTAAGACCATCAGAAATATGTGTTTTCCAATGGTCTTAGGTGACCCCTGTGAAAGAGTTTGTCGACCCCCAAAGGGGTCATGACCCACAGGTTGAGAACTGCTGGTCTAGACCTTCAAGACCATCCAAGAGCAGATCTGCCTGCCTATCTCCATTTTTTCCTTCTCTTTCTATCTTTCCATTCTGTTTTCCATTGGTGTTGTCTTCTCCTTTGGCGGGGGAATGTGAACAGTCAGCCAGGAGACTAAAAGAACAAGCTACATTGACTTGCTGGTGACAAACCACATAGGATTCAATTCCTTTTCCTTTACTTAAAAAAAAATATATAGATAGATAGATAGATGACTTCTATATAATGAAGTACTATGCATTAAAAAAATGAGATGGCTCTGAATATATCAATTGTATGAAACAATTCCTAAGAGATACCAGTGAGTAAAAAAAAAAGTAGAGCTCATGAAGTATTTTTGGTCTCATACCATTTATGTAAACTGTTTAACTGATAGAAAATCAATATGTATATAATATTTCTGACCAAGGCACTAGTAACATTGCTTGCTTCTAAAGAGAGGAGCAAGATGACCAGGACATATGCCCGTTATGTATTTTGAATGTCCACGAGTTACCTGTTCAAAAATATAGTATTTTTAATACATTGTATATTCATGGTTAAACATGGAAGCAATATTGAGATATATACAACAAAAAGTAAGTCTTTCATTTTAGTTCTACTCTGTTTTAATATATTCTGTTTATCACTGTTAATGATATAGCATCTGTTGTCCTAATTATTTTCCGTATATTGACAAACATGGACACACATACATATATCTGTGCATATTTTTTCACTGATGGTATCTATAGACATTGGATCATTTCAATACATACAGATGTATTGTAAAACCAACAAAAACAACCATCAGACTCTGGCATATTATACAAATAGCCCTTAGAGTATTTACCCAGTCTCCCCTTGATGGATTTTAAATTGTTCTCAGATTTTTTTTTTGTAATAAACAGTAATAGAGTAAATATCCTGATTTCATTTATAGACATATTGTAAGTATTGCTGTCTTTAAATAGCAAACCTGAGACTGTTCAGGTGGTGACAGCAACATGGATTAAAGACAGACAGAGAAAGAATACAAAATTTCACGGAAGTAAGTGTGGACTGTCTAGAGCAGAGGTTTAAACAGATTCATTTCTGATTCAACCTCTGCTAAGAATTTGCTTTTCCCCTGCAGATACACTAACTCAGAACCTACATTTTAAAAGGATCCCTAAGTGAGTCTTTGAGATTGTATAGATTCTGTGTACACAAGAATCACCTGTGGTTCTTGTTAAGATGCAGGTTCTGATCCAGTATATCTGGGACAGAAATGCAAATCCTCACCCCTTATGTGATGACAGGAGCCCTGGTGGCATAGTGGTTATGCACTGGGCTGCTAAATGCAAGGTCAGTGGATCAAAACCACCAGCCACAGGAAACAGATGGGCTTTCTACTCCTATAAAGAGTTGCAGTCTCAGAAACGCACAGGGGTAGTTCTACCGTATCCTATAAGGTCACTATGTGTCAGCATCTGCTTGATGGCAGTGATGTGAGGGCTGGAAGTGATTCTCTCTGATAAGGTATGTGTGCTTAGCCCGCATTGATAATTTCGGGGGCCTTATATAACCTGCAGGTCACACATTCCTCACCCCTGCTTTAAATGCTGGATCTCAGCACTTCTTAGCCAACTTCCTTCTGTTGCCCAGCATACCCACTCTACTACTTTATCTGCCACTCAAACACAAAGCAAAACCTAAAGTTTTTATCATTTGTTTTTCACTAGAATCATTCCAGCAGAAGAGGCAGCTTACAAGCCTATACTTTTGAGGAACAGCCTACACTTCCTGTGGTAAGTTTTATCCTCTCCCTTCAATTATTAGAAAAATATGAGACGCAGCTCCTCTTCCTCCTCCTCTGCTTCCTCCTGTTCCTTTTTAAAGCACGGGGTAGGAACATTGACTACCACACAGGGAGGAGCTCAGTTCCGTGTAGACTTCAGCCTCTGCTGGATGAGATTTGGGATGGGGACATGGGGTCGGACCTTTAAAGACAAAGCAGAGAGAACAGTCTCTCCCAGACAGACAGCTGGGCTTCTCAGTGAGTAAGCACTCTGCGTGCTGGAGGTGGTCTGCTGCATACTGTGGGGTACAGTGGTGTCCAGCTGCCTCTGCTTGGTACCTGGCATCTGGCTTGGCTCCTGGCTTCTGGCATCTAGCAGCCACTTCTGTGCTGCAGGTTCAATGGTCAGGATGGAGTGTATCCATCCCCAGTTCTGCCTTTCCTTCAGCTCCTCATCCACATCCTCCTCAGTAGTGTT